TTTGTTGGTTGGGTTTTGGGTTTGGTTGTGTGGATCTGGTCCCAGTGTGGTGGGTTTGTTGATTGATTTGTGGCCTCTTAGCAATGATTGCAGGCTTTGGGGTGATAAGTGTTTTGTGGTGAAGCAGCGTGTTCCTTTTGGACTTGTTGGTTTGTTTATTTGGTTTGTGTTTTTTGTGTGGTTAGAGTATTCATCTCAGGGACACTTCCAGGGCTGTCAGGTGAGTACCCAGCTAACTGGGGGCTTAACCGGGTTACTGGGTTGAGTGTTTAAAGAGCCCGACGCTAATCTGCATGAAGACTAGGGTTATGGTGCAGGTACGTTGGGGTAGGCAGGTTAGTATGGGGGCTCTAACTGTTTTAGTGACATCACTGTAAGTTGTACTTATTTCATCCAATTCCACCCCCGACCTAACCGAGCATCCTGTTACCTCCGTGAACAAATCACTGAACACTTCCTTTATCCCATATACAAAGATCGATACACATCACAACGTTTGACAAAAGGCAAAAATTATCTGTCTTGTTTTTCAACTAAATATGAGGATTACAATTATAATGTTCTTGATTTATCTTTTTGTTTTTTAGTTCTCCAGTGCCTCGGGCACGGCACAGTCCAACACAAACACTCCCCATGGTTCACTGTTTCTATGATTTTGTGGGAAATCACAAAGCTCGTGTTCACTGCTCCATTCGGGGATGTTTAAAGGTAAAAAGCTCCTCTCCAGGTTTGCTAAAGGTTCAGCTGTTTGTTCCTGTTTGCTCGTTTTCTCTGTATTATTGTGCAGCTGCCTGTAAAACACCCCGAGGAAACTGAGTTTGTGCTTTATGAAAAAATAAACGTTGAATTGATAATATATATTTAATCATATCTGATGCTTATAATCAGAGCTGAGTGGTGAAGTGGACACATTGTAAATGTTCCACTGTAAGTTATAAGTCAACGTTCTGTGTTGTGAAGTAAAGCCCGTCGTTGAGATTGTCAAACACGATCTGTATCACAGTTTGATGTTTTATTAAAGCTCAGTAAAAGTCGCTGCTTTTGCACCTCTTGAGGTTTAGGCGGGTTCTGTTCTGAAAAGTAAGATGGAAATCTGTCGCTTGTGCACCTTTTAGTTTCATGTCTTATGTTTTTTTTAAATGTTAGTACGTTTATCTCATACTTTCATCTTCAAACGTCATCAAAATGTGATTGTTTTTGTGATATTTTGCAATACCACCTTTAAATATAGAACACATTTTCCCCCATATTATACTATAAATTACTACATGCAGAGAAATTAAAAACATAGTTACTGCACCACGTTCTGCATCAGATCTGGTATCAAATAATAAACTGTGCTCAGTTTGTCACAACAAGGATTCCTGCCCAGCAGGACGGAGACAGAAGGCTGCCATATTCAGCGGTTGAGCTTCACATGTGTACAGAAATAAGTGCAAACCACAGAAAGATATTCACACACTGCAACAGAAGCTGCACCTCCTCTTCATGTACATGCTGAAAAAATGAACCACTGAAACTTAAAACATCTACTTTTTTCATGCGAAGCTTTGAAACATGCTGCGTGCTGTGCAGCTCCGTTTTTGTCTCAGATTAACATGTGAAGTTTGGTGTTTGATCATAAGATAAAACATGGTAAATGAGAGTAAAATAAGATTTTACTTTAATGAAAAAACTAGCACATTTTCATTTTTAACGTTTAGAATAAAAAATCTGCCTCCAAAAAATGTTGACTTTTTAAAATCAGGATATTTACTGTCGCTGACTATGCATCTGTAACTGGAAGGTCGCCGGTTTGATCCCCGGGCTCTCTGTCCTGGTTATTGTGTCCTTGGGTAAGACACTTCACCTACCACCTACTGGTGTTGGCCAGAGGGGCCGATGGCGCGATATGGCAGCCTCGCTTCTGTCAGTCTGTTCCAGGGCAGCTGAGGCTACAACTGTAGCGTCTCAGCGTCTCTTTATGTCTGTCTCCACGTTGGTTGAGTGTGGAGTAATTGCATATGAGAGCATGAGGGTGTCTGTATCTGTGTGTGCCTGTATGTCTGTGTCTATATGTCAGGTTGGGTATCAGACGCCACCTCTCTGGGGACATCTCAGGTCCTCTAAGGTATGGAGGCCTATCTCCCCCCACCACTCCCCCTGCCAGTGGCAGACTCCCTCAGACATCGGTGCGTTGGTGGTTCTTTGTGTCCGGGGATGGGCGTCCAGGTACACACCGGCTCACTCCTTGGTGGCTGCTTGTTGGAGCCTGGGGCCACTTCGGGGGTGGGGTGCCCTCGGCCTCTCGGCCTGGGGCTCGGTCACTCTGGCACAGCTGGCTGCCGGCGGAGCTCCCGGGCACATCACTGCAACCCCCCCTGGCTTCTGCTCCGTGGCTGCTGAGTGACCCCTCATCTGGGACTCTCCTCAGCTCTTTCTGGGACAGTGGTGCAGCTGCCCCTCTGTTGGTCTTCCTTGGTCTCTTGTGTTCTGGGGGCCTCTGGATGTCTGGAGTCTTGATCTCCTCCATACCTGCTTCATGCCCTGGAGGGCGGGGCTGTGGCCCCCCCACACCCTCTAGCAGATCATTACATGAAGGAACCTTTTAAAAACAGGTTTGATTGGTAGGTCTGGATGACTTTTTTTCCCTTAATAAATAAAATCATCATTTAAAAAGTGAATTTCATATTTGTTTAATATTAAAATTTGTTTGATGATCTTAAACATGTAAGTGTGATAAATTTCCCCCTTTTGACTTAAAAAGGGGGAAATTTATCACACCCCCCCCAAAACCCACCTCTTCGAGACAGCCAACTCTAACGTCTCCATCTTAAACTTTCTTTTATTGTTGTTTATTTCCTGGTTTGATGCTTATTTGCTCTGTGCAGTGTCCCTGTGTGTTTTAAAGGCACTTTTAAATACCATGCATTATTATTATCATTATAAATATGCAAAAACTAAGAAATCGGGAAGGGCAGATACTTAATATTGACTGTCAGTTTTTACAAACTGAAACTTTGTTTCCAGAAAGTCACATTTCCGCTTTGCTACCTCGAACAGGAAACTTCGATCTAAACCACAAAGTTTTCTTTTAACTTTCTATTAGTCGATGTTAACGTCAGCCTGGATACTATGTTGATAATAAAGACACATTCAGCTGAGTTTAGTGCTTCAGTGGCTTTTAAATACAAACTGTATCACACTGTTCATGATGGTGTCCATCACTGTCACACATATATACTCTCAGCTCATGTTATTATTACTATTTATGACACAAGTGATTATCATAACTTTTAGACAGAACAGTTACAGCTGCTTGTTTTTTATAGAGAATGAGCTTTTTTTGTGATTTCTATATTTCAGATCTAGAACTGAAACTTCATCTTATCAAGTTTATTAATGTAAAAAATAAAAAGCCTGTTTAAGGCTGCTGTAAAATATTATGAGTCAGAGTCAGAAAAAAAAGTTTGTGTGTAATGAAGCTGCTGCTGGAATAATTTAGGCTGAGTTTCTGGTGACTTCAAGGTAAATCTGAACAACGTTAAATAATCAACAACACGTTCATACATTATGTGTTATTATCTTTACATTTACCTGTAATCTAACGGTGATTGAAAACAAAACAAAAACCCCAAATATTTATATTTATTAACATTGTACACATAAATTTTTATAGTGCGTTTTTAATGTTTATTTCAATAATTAAAAGTTTATTTAAGAAAAAAAACATGGAGATTTGGGCTTAATGTAAACAAAGTTTTTTTTATTGCTAAAATGTAAAAATGACCAAATGAAGACTGAACAACGTAAATACTAAAGATTTAGTTTGATGCTCGGCGATGTTCTTGGTCACTGAGCTTCTCTATGACGCCACCCAGGAGGTCGTGTGTTCATGGAAACTGTGATAAGACAAAGGAAACAACAATAAACATGACAAACCATCAAACCACAGCACGATTATGAAACATAACTGCTCCTGCAACTTCTGCTGCAACCAGTTTTATTATATATTATCTTAATATATTATTATACTTAATATTATTTATTATTATACTTACAGTAACTAAAACTAAACTAAAAAAATTTACTAGGTATGATGAAACATTTTAGTTAGCCAGTTAAAAAATTCAACCAACTAAAATAATGTTGTGACCTGTTGAAACTATTTAAAATAAAGTGAATGTGTACAGCAGGGAGGTCCAACCCGAGAGCTGCTGTCCTGCAGCTTTCAGATGCATCCCTGCTCCAACACAGCTCAATCATCTGCTCAACATGTCATCAAGTTTGGCAAAGGCCTGATAACAAACCATTCATTCAATGCAGATGTGGGAAAAAGGATGCATCTAAACGCTGCAGGACAGCAGCTCTCGAGGACGAGTTGGAATCCTTTGGTTTACAGGAAATGGTCTCAGTTTGAGTCTTTGTAGTTTTGGCAAAACACAACAAACCTGACGAGGCTTTGGTGCAGATGCTTTAAGACTTATGTGAGTGACGTGCTTTCACAAAGGGTTGTTTTTATGGAAATATCAAATTATTTAACCTATATTTCCTAAATCTGTGTAATAATTAAAAAGTGAAAAATAACAACTAAAAACTAAATTCAAACTAAATATTTTAAATCAATAAAAACGAGACTGAAAGCAAAACAACTCCTGAAACTAAATGAAGGTAAAAAGGATTTAAAACAGGACAAAAATATAAAATAAATACAAAATAATTAAAAAATTCTAAACCAATATAAGACTCTGTAACTATTTCTAAAATGTAGCAAAGTATTAACATTTACATAGTTCGTGGTAACAGCAGCTAAATATCGACATACTTGCTTCTGAGGCCACATTTTCATCCACGTCACTGTGGAGAGAAGATTTACTGTTAACATCTTACTGTGTGAAAACAGAACATAACTCATCACCACAGATAAATGTCATCTATAATAAACTGAAATTCATTTACAACAAACAGTTTTATCATTGATAACAGATGAATATAAACTAACGATGGTGGATGCGTGGCCTTTACCTCCTACACTTTCTGAGCTTCCTGTAGTTCACGCAGGCCAGCAGAAGCAGAGCGGCGGATATGAGGAAGATCAAAAAACCAACGACAGCTTTGTCATTGTCTGAAAACAGGTTCAAACAACATCAAACAGTGGCTTTAATATCCTGTTACCCAGCAGAGTAAAGTTATTTATACTTTATTTCATTGTGTGAACAGTTGAGTGCTGGCTCAACTTGTGTGTTAAATACAGGTGTGTGTGTGTGTGTGTGTGTGTGTGTGTAAACTGATTTATCTAACAAACTGTGTCATTGAATCCATACTTACAGCGAGTATGAGCAGTTCTTGTGCCGGGTTTGCTTTCAAAGAATCCGTTGAAAACAGTCACCTATAAATACAGATGTTTCAGATGTTCATTCATAAGAAATTACA